CACGCTTTTGTAATACAGTATTGTTATAGTCATGCAAATAAAGCTCACTGTTGTTGTTGTTGTTGTTGATTCACCTACTTGATGCTCGAAGTCGGAGTTAGTCTATTTGATTCGTACTTGGTGTGGTGAATTCAAACTACAAATGTCAACCGTCGCATCTGAGTTCAGTCGCCTTCATACGCATAAAATCAAGCCTACTATGACAGAAGATTGTGAACTACGGTTGTTTACGTGAAAATTGCCGCTTTTGAGTTGAGTAGATCATGACTTCGCACGCGTATAAACAAGTTATTCAAATACAGTAATATGGGTTCTAAGTACTGGCTACAAGCAGGTCCATTCAGGTGGGAGCAGCAGCTGAGTAATCGTGAAGCGTTTTTGTTGCTGGTCGGGCACTGCTCCCAGGCATCGAACAGTTTCAGCTGAAGTTGCCTGTACTTTCTTCTCTGGATTCGCTTTAACTTCTTGTCTGATATAAGCTCGATGAGGCGCACGATGTCTATTTTGCTCAACCCATTTTCCCGTATTCACCTGAAACATTAGTTTTTTTTTCATTCTTTGAATCTCAGTTTAATGTGAAGTCAGCGTGAAACATACATTCTTCTCTTTCACCAGTTTGTTTCTCATTTAAATCATCTTCCTTTGAAATAATCTGTTCAATGTGTTGTGAAATGGAATCCAGTTGAATAGACCAATTTTGAACGAGTAGTTTTGCTTCAGTTTTATTTAGAATGCCAGGCCTCAATGTAAACAGAAACAGACCCATCTTGGTCTCCCCTTGAAGTAAGCTAAGGTTTATACTTCGGTAACTGGTATTTACAGAACAAACCATACAAAGGTCCTCTGGATTTGATGAATAATTTGGGTAGGTTTCAATTACAACAGGTGATTTTCTTGGCGTTACACCATGCTTACCCTTAAAGATGTTAGATGTAAACTGTACTAAATTCAATACTGATATTCCAGGAAAATCACATTCATTTACCTTTCTACTTGCATACAAGTCAACAAGGAATGGTTCCGTTTTAAGTGAATTGTTTTCAACTGTCATTTTTCGTGAAGCATTGAGGGAAGCTAAAATTACCTGGAATGATGAACTCACAAATTTATAGAAAGAAGTTGGTGCATAACCTCTCGAATACCCTTATCTCTTTGTCCGACAGCTTTCATTATTAACTTTTTGATAATTCTACTGCTATCACTGTCACTTGAGGTTTCATTCAGTATTGAAGTAAAAACATCTTTAGCAACTGATGACATTTTCTCACCCTTAGAGGCATATTTGGTTGAGAATTCTTTTTCTATACAGTATATTAAAGGCACAGTATGTAAATATAGGGTGTGCAGCAAATCTACATTTCATCCATTTCCATCTTTTTTTTCACCAAACTTAATGAAGTGTTTCAACTTGTTTGCAAATGCCTCTGTGACTCAGTCACTGGTGTCAACCAAACTGGAATTGTTTGTGGGATCACCCTTTCCATTTGGGAAAAGTGTAGGAGAGGACATCGATGCTAAGTAATGTACATTGAATTAATTCAATGGCTCACTGCCTACTTCCCAACTATACCGGTTGGATTCAGTTGTAAACTGAAGTTACTGAGTAAACTGTAGGAAACTACTCATGTCACTTTCATCATGGTACACTTTTTCATAATTCTCTGAATTGTCTGGTCCAGTATCTATGCCTGGTTCATCACTTGCATCATCGTCGACACATTCCAATGTGTTGACACCAGTAAGCATACCATTTTCAGGTAAAGTCTGAAGTGACTGTGAATCTATTTTAACATTTTGATATAGCACATTATTGGGTTTTCCTCTTTCATGAAAACCCAAGCCAATATAATATGTAAGCCAATAGAGAGCATCATCAACTTTTTTTCTCACAATAAAATCTTTAGAATCATTGTTCTTTCCAGAAATAATGAAAACAATTACTGGAAGGTCCTTGGGGAATCTAGGTAGTATGTCTGCAAGCTGTTGTACATCCTGAGGTAGAGTAATGACATGCCCTTTACAAGCTTTCTGACCACCCCTTGGTTTAGTATAGACATGCATAGCTGGGAATGCTCTTGCAATAAACATTTCTTGAAATTGAGTTAACCCTTGTAATTCTCTGGGAACAGGAGATGGTGTCATTGGATTTTCAATCGAAATTTTTTGGGGGATACTTTTGTCTCTTGAACATCTGGAACAAATATACTACTCTGGTTGCTTGGGTTTGTTTTCAAGGACCATGCCTCGTGACACACAGAACATTGGGAGATAGATAATTTTATACTTCTATGAAATTTTTGCATCATTTCAAGAGCCAGTGTTTATTCATGAAGAGGCTCTTTACTAGTTTGAAATGACGGGTCTTGACTGCACGCTTAATCTGGTTCTTTATCAAAAACATTAAATGATGCTGAAGAACATTCACAT